GAGGGACGACGGCCCGACGAGACAGCGGCGCACCTCTGAGCGGGGCGCGCCCGCGGTCGCGCCGCGCCCGCGCCTGTGGCGATCCGCGGCACGAGCGCCGCGCCCACGGTGGCGGGGCGATCGGTCGACGACGACGACCACCGGGCGGGCGCCCGAGGGCTTGCTGAAACGCTGAGAGGGTCTGCGCTCGTAGTGCTCGGCGCCCTGGCGCGAACGGCCGAACGACCCGTAGCCCAAGATATGTTGTTCACGCGGTTAGCCGCCTGAGAAATGCATCCTGCATTCGCAGGCCTAGAGGTTGACACCAACACCAAGATCGGCGGTGTGCCTTCATCGAGGGAAGAATATCCCGATCTCGAGGATGGTGGTAATATTCTGGCTTCCAAGGTGACCGAAATATTGCCACCAACACCGAAATCTATGATCATCTTCCCCATGTGGAGGCAACCCCCTGTGTTGGTGTTGGTGCCCATTCCTAGGCCTCCAATTCATGGCCTGTGCAAATATCGTCAAGCAGTGCGTCGGCTGGTGCCTGGCCAAGCACCCGCGCAGCGCGCGCGCGTTCGCGCCACGGGCCGCGGGAGTCCTGCGGAGGCTCTCTTCACGCCCCCCTTCGGGGGCGGCCCGCGGTTTTCGCCACCGTGACGCGCACCCCTTGAGACCAGAGGCTGCGAGCAAAAATGCAACATCGCAAAAGGTCACGGCTGGAGCCCTCGAACCCAGCTTTCCGCGGCATTCTTCGGCCCAGGTCGACGTGCGACGGTCCCGGGGCCCGAAATTAGGCGAAAGCGCCAGGCGCAACAAACATCACAACGCCCGGATCTCAGACACGACGGTTGGCGGGCGACGGCGGCGGCGCCGGCGGCAACGGCGGCGACAGCGGCTGCGGCGCCCCGTGCGCCCGGCAAAGGCGCTGGAGCAGCGGCCCCCGGAAGGCCCGCCGTTGCGCGGGAGCCCGCCGCCCTTGCGGACGGCGCCACGGCCGCCGCGCCGCCGGCCACCGCGCCGCCGGCCGCAGGCGTCGCGCCAGCGGCGGCGGGCGCCAGCCAGCAACCTGCCGCCGGCACCGAGGCGAAGGCGCCCACCGATGCCGACGCCGACGAAGCCGACGACGACGACGCCAAAGCCAAAGCCAAGGCCGAGGCAAAGGCCAAAACCAAAGCCAAAACCAAAGCCGAAGCCGACGACGCCGACGCCGACGCCGCCGAGGTGAAGGCGCCCACCGATGCCGACGCCGACGCCGACTCCGACGCCGACGCCGACGAACGCCGACGCCGACGACGACGACGCCGACGACGCCCAAGCCAAAGCCAAAGCGAAAGCCAAAGCCAAAACCAAAGCCAAAGCCAAAGCCAAAACCGACGACGCCGACGCCGCCGCCGCCGACGGACGCCGACGCCCACGCCGCCGCCTCCGAGGCGAAGGCGCTCGCCGCTGCCGACACCGACCGACGCCGACGCCGACGCCGACGCCGACGAACGCCGACGCCGACGACGACGACGCCGACGACGCCCAAGCCAAAGCCAAAGCGAAAGCCAAAGCCAAAACCAAAGCCAAAGCCAAAGCCAAAACCGACGACGCCGACGCCGCCGCCGCCGACGGACGCCGACGCCCACGCCGCCGCCTCCGAGGCGAAGGCGCTCGCCGCTGCCGACACCGACCGACGCCGACGCCGACGCCGACGCCGACGCCGACGCATCCGACGACGACGCCAAAGCCAAAGCCAAGGCCAAAACCAAAGACAAGGCCGACGCCGCCGTCGCCGCCGCCGATGGACGCCGACGCCCACGCCGCCGCTTCCGAAGCGAAGACGCCCGCCGATGCCGACTCCGACCGACACCGACGCCGATGCCGAAGGGCGCCGACGCCTACGCCGCCGCCTCCGAGGCGAAGGCGCCCACCGATGCCGACGCCGACCGACGCCGACGACGCCGATGTCGACGCCGACGCCGACGCTGACCGACGACGACGCCAAAGCCAAACCCAAACCCAAAGCCAAAACCAAAGCCAAAAGCCAAAACCGACGCCGCCGATGGCCACGCCGACGGACGCCGACGCCCACGCCGCCGCGTCCGACGCGTAGGCGCCCGCCGATGCCGACGCCGACCGACGCCGACGCCGACGCCAAGTTCGACGACGCCAAAGCCAAAGCCAAAACCAAAGCCAACACCAAAGCCGAAGCCGACGACGCCGACACCGCCGCCGACGCCGACGCCGCAAACGACGGAGGCCGACGCCCACGCCGCCGCCTCCGAGGCGAAGGCGCCCGCCGATGCCGACGCCGACCGACGCCGACGCTGCCGACGCCGACGCCGCCGACGACGCCGACGCCAAAACCGAAGCCAAAGCCAAAACCGCCGACGCCGCCTTCGACGGACACCGACGGACGTCGACGCCGACGTCGCCGCCCCCGAGGCGAAGGCGCCCGCCGATGCCGACGCCGACCGACGCCGACGCCGCCGACGCCGACGCCGACGCCGACGGATGTCGACGCCGATGCCGACGACGACGCCGACGACGCCAACGCCAAAGCCACAGCCAAAGCCAAAACCAAAGCCAAAACCAAGGCCAAAGCCAACGACGCCGACGCCGACGCCAACGCCGCCGACGACGGACGGTGACGCCGCCGCCGCCGCCTCCGAGGCGAAAGCACCCTCCGATGCTGACGCCGACCGACCCCGACCGATGCCGCCGCCGACGGACGTCGACGCTTACGCCGCCGCCGACGCTTACGCTTACTCCGAGGCGTAGGCGCCCGCCGACGCCGACGCCGATGACGCCGCCGCCGCCGACGACGCCAAGCCAACGCCAAAGCCAAACCAAAGCCCAAAGCCAAAGCCAAAGCCAAAACCGACGACGCCGCCGCCGACGAACGCCGACGCCCACGCCGCCGCCTCCGAGGCAAAGGCGCCCGCCGGTGCCGACGCCGACCGACGCAGACGCCGACGCCGCCGACGACGACGCCGACGACGCAAAAGCCAAAGCCAAAACCAACGCCGAAGCCAAAGCCGAAGCCGCCGACGCCGACGCCGACGCCGCCGTCGACGGACGCCGACGCCTACGCCGCCGCCGAGGCGAAGGCGCCCGCCGATGCCGACGCCGACCGACGCCGACGCCGACTCCGACGCCGACGACGCCGCCGCCGACGCCAGGGCCATCTCCAACGACAAAGCCAATGCCGACGCCAAAGGCAAAACCAAAGCCAAAGCCGACAACGACAACGCCGACGCTGACAACACCGACGCCGACTCCGACGCCGCCGCTGGCGACGACGACGACGACGCCAAAGCCAAAGCCAAAGCCAAAGCCAACGCAAAAGCCGACGTCAAAGCCGACCGACGCCGACGGACGCCGACGACGACGCCGGCGCTACAGACAAAGCCAAAGCCAATGCTAAAGTCGACGCCGTGTCCGACAAACGCCGACGTTGACGCCGACGCCGCCGCCGCCGACGACCATGACGACGACGATGACGACGACGACGACGACGACGCCGACGACGCCGACGACGACGACGACGACGGACACCGACGCGGACGCCGACGCCGACGCCGACGCCTCAGCCGGCGACGATGCCGACGACGCCGGCGTCGCCGCCGACGGACGCCGACGCTGACGCTGGCGACGCCGACGACGCGGACAACGACAACGACAACGACAACGACAACGACGCCGCCGTCGACGCCAAAGCCAAAGCCAAAGCCAAGGCCAAAGCCGACGCCGCTGCCGTTGCCGACGCCAACACCGACGCCGACGCCGCCGACGCCGACGCCGACGCTGACGGACGCCGACTCTGACGCCGGCGCCGCCGACGACGACCGACGCCGACGCTGACGCGGGCGACGCCGACGACGCCGTCGCCGACAGCGCCGACAACGCCGACGCTGCCGACGGCGACGGCGACGGCGACGACGCCAATGCCAAAGCCAAAACCAAAGTCGAAGCCAAAGTCGCCGATGCCGTCGCCGCCGCCGGCGAACGCCGACGACGACGACGCCGACGGTGACGCCGACACCAAAGCCAAAGCCAATTCCAAAATTCAAGCCAACGACGGACGCCGCCGCCGACGACGGACGCCGACGAGACGCCGACGCCAAAGCCAAAGCCAAAGCCGACCGACGTCGACGCCGCCGCCGCCCACGACGACGACGACGACCACAGCCGCCGTTGCCGCCACCGCCGACGCCGATGCCGCCTAATTACTTCGCCGTTTTAGTCAAAGACGTTGTCGCTGTCGCCGCGTCCTCGGGCGAGGTCGCGTTGCAGCCGCTTCGCTCAGAGGATGACGAGCTGAGACAGCGGTAGTTGGCATTCGCGCCACTTCGTCGCCACGGCTTGGCGCAGCTCGGAAAAATTTTTGCCTTGTGATTTGGGGATCGATTTTGAGTTGCCGCCGCTTCGTGGACGAGGGTGTTCGCCGATGCCGACGACGACGACGACGACGCCCATGACGACCACCACCACGGCGACGGTGCCGACGACGACCACGACGACGACGACCACAGTCACCGTTGCCGCCACTGCTTCCGCAGTCTTCGTCAACGACATTGCCGGTGTCATCGTCTCGGGTGTCCTCCTCCCCGAGGGGAAAGAGGTCGCCGGCGACGTCGCAGCCGCCATTGCTGCCGCCGCCACCCCTGCTTGGCTGCTCAAAAGTGGGGCCCCGAGGGAGGGAGGAATCTCAGGTTGAACCTTCACTGCTTGAGGCTGTTGACCTCAAAGTGTCTATCTCTCAGGTCCCCATCGTTCGACCGCCGGTCCGCCGTTTCCCCAAAGATGTCATCGATGTTGTCGTCGCGGATGTCGTGGTCGCTACCGTCGTCACCGATGTCGCTGTCGCCGTTGTCGTCGCCGTCGCCGTCAAAGATTTTCTCGCCGCCGTCGTCGTCGCCGATGTCGTCGTCGCCGTTGGTGTCGCTGCCTTGTCGTCGCCGTCGTTGTCAAAGCCGTCGCTGCCGTCGTCGTCGACGATGTCGTCGCCGCTGTCGCTCGAGGACTGAGGTGTTTGGATTTTTTTGGGTGGTCGTTGTGAGCCTCCTGGAGAGCTACTCGCCACCGCGGATGGATTCCCCTTGGAATTCAGCCGAAAACGAAGATGCCGAGTTCTTGTTTGGATGAGATGTCCAGTGGGGCACGCCCGGCCCCCAGCCGTCAGCGCTCGAGAGTGCACCCTGCCCGCACGCAACCGCATGAGGCAAGGCTTAAGTCGGGCCTGTCCATCTACAGGAGGAATATTCAACAAAAAACTATGTGTTTAGTATTTTGGGGGCTTTTTATTGTTTTCTGGTTCTTTTTTATTTTTCGTCCAACTTCCCCCTGTAGAGGCAAGGCTTAATTATGGTTTCTTGGTGGCGGGCTCATATTGCATCGTGATGTAAACCACCATGGCGAAGTCACAGTCTATAATTCCAGAGAAACCCACCCCTACCCCCATACATGGCGCTTGCGAAATAGCCCCTGGCGCCTACGAAGCAACACAGCCCTGCGCCGTTCGATTCCTTACATGCGCGCGTCTGCTACACGGCTTCGCTGGCTGGGATGCTTGTTATGAGGGAGTTGTTTATTTTGCTTGGTATTGCTCAGGAGGGAAAATACACACAGACACAATTAATCGTCGACCCCCATGAAAATTCTTCACGCTTCGCGTATCCCCACCAGGTGACCTGCCCACTGAGGTCCGCAGGTCCTGCGCGGGTCTTGCGTTGGCCACTTGAATCCTGGTCATTTTGTCCAGTGCGCGTGCCCGAGCTTGCAGTGCGTCAGCCAGTTCAGCGTCACCCAGCCTGCAGCTGCCGTCTGAGGGGGCCGGCCGGCGCGCCTGTCCTAGCCAATTAGCCTCGCCCGTGGCCTGGACGTTGCCTTCGCCGCCTGACCCTTGTCTCGCGGCCGCGACCAAAAAAATATCCCCACCAGCCAGAGTTGTGCCCTCGTTTTCGCTGTTCTTTGCTCTTTCGCCCTCTTGCTCTTCGTCGTCTCGCCCTCTGTGTGCCCTCGTTCGTTTTCTCCTCCGCCGCGTAGTTCTCGCCACCGGTGTGGCCCTTTTCCGGCTGTCCTGTTAGGTTGGCCTGTCGTCTGACGACTTTGACGGCGCGCAG